CCCTCATATCAAGCTCATAATTATAGGCATAATTTGGATTAATTAGCATAACACGGGACAGGGTTATCACAACAATAGAAAGAGAAGAGAGAGAGAGAGAGAGAGCAAGAAAAATTTGCGATTGTGCTGATCACCTCTCACCTTCATCACCACTAGGACTGTGCAAAATACCGCCCAATCCACTAAATCTACATCGATCAGCATCAATCCGCACCGCTCTAACCACGGTTTAAACTTTAAAATTTATAAGCCGCCTTCCAAACTGCTTCGCTCTGCTATAGTTAATACATATATATTTTTTAATCTCCAATAAAATATCAAAGTAAAAATGAGCGTGAGGGAGATTTAAGATATGAAATTTATTACAAATTAGTAGTTATATATGAAACATATTATGTAAAATTACTTTGTGTTATATATATAAAAAAATTATACAAATTAGTGTTATATATGATGTAAATGTATGATAATTAGTTAAAATATTTTTTAATTTGCCAATTCGCCAAAAACTGCTCAAATCACAATTTGTCAATCTGTTAATCCACTAATCCGCTATTAGGTTTGTAATTTTATTCTCAAATAGTCCGAACCACACCGCGTATACCCCTAGTCACCGTCGTTATGACCTCCATCGCCAAAAGAGAGAGAGGAAGAGAGAGAGAGAGAGAGACCTTTTCATCAATCAGAGACTTCATCTATCCTCGCAATCTCCGATGACACAATCTGACCACTACCAGACAAGATCTGATCGTGGAGTAACCAGATCTCGTCCAGTCGCTGCTCTGCTTTTCTTCCGTCGTCGATGGCATTGAACAACCATCACACAAGATAAATACAAACATACACGTAGACATACATCCTGTATATAGGTAGGTTTGTATGTATGTATGTATGTATGCTTGTATGTACATATGACTCATGCATATATTTGTGTATGTATGTATATCTTAAGTGTATGAGTGTATGTATGTGTATCGGTGAGTGAGTGTATGTATGTATATCTGTGAGTGTATAAGTGTATGTATGTATATCTGTGAATTAGTGAATGTATGCATGCATGTATATCTGAGTCTGTGAGTGTGTATATATATATATATCTGTGATTGTGTGTATATATGAGACAAATTTAGAAAAAAAAAATTGATGTTGTTGATGATGATTACAACAGATAAATAAAAAAGTTGACACCGATTTTCAACAGAAAAAAAAAACTTAACAGACAGATAGAAGATAGATAGAATTTAGGAAAAATATTGAATAGATAAATAAAATTTAAGGAAAAAATTGAACAAATAGATATAAAATTGAACAGATAAATAGAATCTAGAGAAAAAATTGAACATATAGATAGACTTTCGGAGAAAAATTGAACATATAAGGGAAAATTTGAATAGATTGTCAAAAAATTGAATAGATAGATACAAATTTGAACAGATAGATATAAATTTGAATAGATTATTAACAAAAAGTCAAACAGATAAAAAAAAGTCAAATAGTAAAATTGGAAATAAAATGTCTTCACAAAACGTAGACTTTTTACCAATAAAAAAGTTTCACTAGACCTAATGCCTTATATTCTCCTTAATTTAGATTTATCACCAATTTTCTCTTTAATTAATAACCACAATTTATTTAATTTATCGCGTTTGTTATAAAAAATAATAAAAATTAAAGCTCTATTTTTAAAAATACAATTATTGTTTAAGTTTTTAAGTGACAAGCCCAATAAATGGAACATGACATGATTATCAGATCAACTTAATTTTTGTATGTGGATGATATGCACAAAATTTCTAACAAAATAAACCGTTCGAATCATTAAAACGAGATCAGTGGTAAAATAAACCATTCAAATCATTCAAGCGAGATCCGCGATAAACTGCACGTGTCCAAACAACACCTATTGACATACGAACCCATCAACATTTACAATTTTGAATCACACAAAATTATATGTACAATTTTTTTTTTTGTTCACAAAATAATTTTATTGAATTAAAAGTGATTTTTCTTTTTAATATTTAGTGGTAGTAGTAGTGGTGGTGGCGAGACGAGGTGGAGGTAGGGTGGTGGTGATGGTGATGTTGGCAATGATAGTGGCGATGGTAATATAGTGACATTGGTATGATTTAATTTTAAAAATATATTTTTCATTTGTTACAAGTAAAAAATATTTTTTGTTCAAATAAATTTATTTTTTATTAATTATAAAAAATATTTTTCCGTTAATTTTTATTTTTTATTGTAACAAATGTTACAAAATATGAAAAATATATTTTTTCACTCAAACAAGGGAACGTAAACTATCTATGATGATTTTTTTCAATTCTTTTGTACACTTCATTAAAATAAAAATTAATATGGTGAAAGAAATAAAAATATATGAGGATTTATTATTTTTATATAATTTTATGTTGGCTAACTTATACTTCGTCACTTTTGTATTTAGTTATTTTCTCACTTTGGATCTTAAAATTTATTTATTTATTTATTTATGAGTTTAGCCTTTCATATTTTTAATTTTTTTTTTTTCAGTTTACTCCTAAATCTACCTTTTGTTTAAAATTAAACAAAAAATATTACATTAACTATCACATAACATGAAAAATTTATTATAATATTGGAATTTAAATTTATATTTAAAATGTATAATATTATAAAATATTTTTATGTCATATGATTGTTAATATGTTATTTTCTATCTAGATTTGAGTAAAAGTTAACTTTAGAAGTAAATTAAAAAAATAAATTAAAACATATGTGAGAAGAAATAAATTTTAAAAATTAAAGTGAAAAATAGCCAAATATAACAGGCAAAAAGTAATTTAATTTTTATCTTTTGAAAAGTCAAATTGTTTTTTTTTTTTTTTTTTTTAAATTGATAAAATATAAACTAAGGCCTCGTTTGGGAATAAGCTAATTTAGTAACTTTTTAACTATTTGGCTAAAATATGAGCTCAAAAAAACTAATCGGCTTGCTTGTTTTCATTTTTCAAAAAACACTTTTCAAAAAATTTTACATTCTTATTTTTCGTATTTTTTTGTTTTTACTGAATTTTTTTAATATTTTAAGCAATTTTTTTACTTTTTAGACACATCTAACATAAATACACTTAAAAAGTAAAAAAATTGTAATTTTTTTTTAAAAAAATTCACTAAATACCAAAAATACAAGAATTCAATACATTTTTTATATTTTTATGTATTTATTAATTTTTTAAAATATTTTTCACAAATTTTTTACTTTTTAGATACATCTAACTAAGGTGCATCTAAAAAAATAAAAAAATATATTTAAAATTTTAAAAATATTCACTAAAAACAAAAGAATACGAAAACCAAAAAATTCAATTTTTAAAAAACTTAATCTAGAAAACACAAACACACTGATTGCTATTTAAGTCTAAAAGTTAGATCTAATTTTCAAGTTTAATGATGTGACAATCGATTAGAATATTTAAGGTAACACTCTCTCTTATATTTTTCCTAATTATCAACTAATTATATTAGGCGTCAGTCGGTTGTAGCCACGGAACCTCCAATCCGCCATCCGTCCGCCAAATTGATGGATTGGAGAAAATCAATCCGCATCCGTCTGCCAATCCGGCGGATGTAGATTGAGCGGATTGGCCGTTTGTCAGATGGATGCGAATCGGTTTGGCGGTTTAAAATTTTATAAATTTTCAACATAATTCAACTTGTGTACTTTCTCAAAAGAAGAAGAAGAAAGTATTACAGTCAATGACTTAAAAAAATATTACAATCACTGCATGCCTCATCTAAAGTAAGAAAATTTAAAACTTTAAAATATTACAATCACTGCATGCCTCATCCACATACTACAATCACAGTATGCATTATCCACATAAAGTATTACAATCTGTGGTTCTTAAAATATAAAAATAATTCAAACTACCAAACCCATGAGCAGAGCAGTAGTAGAGATTGTATGTCTCTGTATTATTACATCTATATCTGTTTTTGAAAATAAAAACCAATCATCATATATCATATTTTCTATTTATTATTTTTAGAGATAAATTTAAAAACAAAAAAATATAGATAAATAATATGTTTATTTTTTTTAATTCAAAAAAGATATTCAAGTTGAAAACTTTTTTTCAACAGAATATTTAAACTCTTTTTTAATTTAACACACAATCAGAATACTTAAACAAACTGAAAACACAAAGTCTTATAAATTACTGGGGGTGTTCGCGGTTTGGCAGTTCGGTTGCGGCCAAAGGAATCTCAAGTCCGCTATCCGTCCACCAGATTGGCGGATTGGAGAAAATCAATCCGCAACAGTCCGCTCATCATCACACATCCGTTCAAAATACGGCGGATCGGTTCGATTTGGTCGATTTTGACGGATCAGTATATCCGCTGCTCACCCTTTACATAACATTAGATTTAGAAAATGAGTCTAAAAGGTGGGCTATTATATGATTTTCCAATTTAAAAGTATTTATTTTTATCTAGTTTTTATTTTTATTTTTAAAAAAAATCTGAATATTTTTTTGAAAAACAAATGGTCATATTAAAGGGTTGTTTAAGAATTGCTAAATTAGTATACTTTTTAACTTTTTATGAAAAAATGTGAAATATGAGTTAAGTTTGAAGTGATGTGATAGAAATGTGATATGATCCAAATAAAATGATTGTGATCCAAATAAAATAATGTGTTAAAATAACATGTATTATTTTAACACATGCCAAACAAAATGTGGATCATCTTATTAGGCCAGATGGCAAAATTAACGTGAATAATGTTATATGTATCAATTAATCTGTACATTAGTCTACTAATAGATGATGTGATATTATTTGTATGGTTTTAAGTATTTGTAACTTATATAATAAATATGGTCAATAATAATATCATGATACACATTATTAATTGATGTATGTAGTGCCACCATAACAAACCACTACTTTGTCGTTATTAACCATATATAAACGTACATGCGCTGCTCACGCTTCCTCTCCTTGCAGAACACGCTTAACCATTTTAGGGTTTTCATCAGAGCCCTTCCTCTGCGTTTGTTGACTGCTTTTTCTCTGAAACCCTAACCCTAACCCTAAGGTCTGCAACAATGGTGGTGAAAGCTTCCAAGGCCGAGAGGAAAAGCTCCTACGACACTAAGCTGTGCAGACTTCTCGATATCTACTCTCAGATCTTGATCGTCGCCGCCGATAATGTCGGATCGAACCAGCTTCAGAACATTCGCAAGGGACTGCGAGGTGAGTCGGTGGTGTTGATGGGGAAGAACACTATGATGAAGCGTTCCATTCGAGCGCATGCTGAGAAGACCGGTAGCACCGCTTTCCTCAGTCTCGTTCCCCTTCTCGTTGTACGTTGTTTGATCTGAAACCTTTCTAGATTTTGCTGTGTTTTGGTCTGTTTGGTAGGCGAGAAAGTGTGGGAAACAAAAGTTTTTTTATTTTTATTTATATTTTTTATGTGTTTTCGTATATCACGCAGTTTGATCGAGTGTTCGAGAACGAGATTCGTGAAAAAAGTTTTGTTCTCAGCCTAGTATTTTTTGATTTTTAGTTTTTAATGTTTTCCGAAAACAATTCGTTAAAACATACAAACCGAAATTTATTTTCAAAATTTTCAATTCGAATATTATGCTTTCATGTTCTAATTAGTAAGCTGTTTTTATTTTGTGATGCGTATTAATTTTGTTTCCGACCTTGATAGGGTAATGTGGGATTGATCTTTACTAAGGGAGATCTGAAGGAAGTGAGTGATGAGGTTGCCAAATATAAGGTACATTTACGGTTATTCTATTTGTGCTTTGTGCTTAGGGTTCATCAACATCTTGCAAGTTTCATGGTAGACCATGGATGTGTTTGTTTTGAAGGATTAGGGTGTGAGATTGGACTATTAGTTCCATCGAATTAATAGTTTATTGTTTGTTTTAATTTTTTTGCTCCGGACTAATAGGCCTCCCAGACTATTAGTCCTATATTTGTGGGACTATCCTATCCATGGCGGGGTGGGATTATTTCCATGGGATTAGGTTCTGAAATATCCATTTTACCCCATGCTATTACTTAGCAAACAATTAGAAAATGGTAAAATAGTGTTTGAACATTTATAAATTATTTTTTTAGTGTTGTTAATTTAAAATTATATATTAAATAAAAAAATTAAATTATAAATTATAAATTAAATTTAATTAAAAATAATAAATTAAAAATTATGGACTTATAAATTAATTTTTTTTAGTGTTGTTAAAAAATTAAATTTATGTATTAAATAAAATTATTTTTTTAGTGTTGTTAATTTAAAATTATATATTAAATAAAAAATATAAATTATAAATTATAAATTTAATTTAATTAAAAATAATAAATCATAAATTATGGCCTTATAAATTAAATTTTTTTAGTGTTGTTAAATTTTAAATTATAGATTATAAATTTAAAATTATATATTAAATAAAAATTATAAATTACAAAGGTAAAATAGTCTTTTAAACATTTATCCGGATTCACTAAAAATAGTCCAATCCAGACATCTAATCCCATAATTAAACAAACACGGAATACAAATACAATTTTTCCATATCCTATCCGTCGAAACAATAACACCTTTAATGTATATGTGCCTTTTAAGATTACTTTCATGTGTTTATTTCCATATTTGATTTCCATTTATGATTGGGATCTGTAGATTTGACATACGTTCCATTCAGAATTTCCGATGCGAGAGAAAATGTTTATCAATCTATATTATTATATAAAGTGAAAAATTCAATTGGTGCCGAAGCTTTGCTTACTTCGTCTTACAACCGTGATTCCTACCCCCACTGGGGTCGACCCTCTGGTGCCGAAGCTTTGCTTACTTCGTCTTACAACCGTGATTCCTACCCCCACTGGGGTCGACCCTCAATGACGTGGCGTAGTGTCATTCGCCAATTTTTTTTTTTTTCTTTCCTTCCAATCACTCACAACCACGTGGACTGGGGGTCGGCAATTACTGGGGGTCTGCCGCATTTTCGCTTCTTCTTATGTCATGTGTCTCTCATTTTTTTATTTAGAAAAAAAAATTTAGATAGATAGGAGTTTGACTTGAACCTTAGACAAGTCTAACAATATTTGTTTTAATTTTACTTATTTAAATTGCATACATTTCACGTTTATCAACCGCTAGTATTTATATATGTGAACATTTTATTTCACATTGGTGATCGAAAATTTTGATATTCGCGAAAAGTATTATTACTTTCCCTTGATCTGAAAAAAAAAATTTGAACCATTTTATGGTCACATTATAACACTAAAAATATTTTGGCCCAAAATCACCATAATGGTTTTCGATTTGATGTTAGAAAGAGTTCATTATGACAATACACATGGTGATGGTCCATGCTATATGTAAGTTATATTTTGAATTAGTGTTGATTCGTTTTATTATAGGTCATTGTGGTAGTAATGTCAATAAATTATCAAATTAAAGTTGCTTATGTCACATTATGGTGTTTGGATCTATATTATCTAAAATGGAAAAACAGTAATGTGATAAGTCAAAATATGGTACGATAGGAGTAAACTTATATATATTATACTTGTGAATTTAAGTTATTTTTAGAGTAATTTTCTTTTAATTATTAGGTATCTAATAAAATCTAGTTTTTCTTCTTCATGTAGTAAAATATTTCTACGAGTACTATGACCATTTTTTATGTTTTATCTTGTCAAAACTTAATTTACCTTAGATTTTAATTCATTTTATTTGATTTTTTCCTCCTAAGGAAACATTTTAGGAAATTTATTGAAAAAAACTTTTGATATCGTTTCAGATTGTTAAATTTACCGTTTGAAATGTAAAATGTACCATATTTTGAAACGTGCATACCAATACATAATTCGCTAGGGTATTAGCATTTTCTGGTAACATAGGTTTGGATATGCCATAGTATAGATTAATTGTAGGTGTTTTGATTGAAAAAGAAAAAACTGCAAGAAGACTACTTCATCCAGTATGGGAATTATGTACAAAATTTATGTCTCTATATCACCACTCAATAGAAAAAAGAAGAAAAGAAAAAAGAAAAGAAAAAGAAATGAATACTATCTTCCAATATGCTTTATGTTTGTTACTATGGTGGCATTCCTTAGGTATTTTAATTTAGCTTTTTCCTTGTATGGAAACATGTTTCTTTTTTCCTTTCCTTTCTATTGTTTAGTTGATGGATGGTGGCAAGTATGTATATTAGAATATGTGCAATTATGTGCTTAAAGAATTTAAGTTGTTGCTCAGTATTATATTAGTTAGATATAGTTCAAAATATGAGAAGATAAACTGATATTTTAAAGGATTATTGTTTTAAGTTGTCTTTTTCTTCACCACAAATCTAGATTCTTATTAAAAAAAATAAAATCTAGACATCTATGTGAGAGATTTCTCCAAAAAAAAAAAAAAAAATGTTGTTCCATGGATGTTGAATGCCCGATTTACATATTTACAACAATCATGTTGGCTATGTTATAATTTTTTTTTATAATAAACATTTTCATATAAGAATTTCTATATGATATTAAACCATGCTATTCATTGATTGTCTCTGGTGGTATGGATAAATTCATTGAGTTGGGTGTACATTCAATGTTAGCTCATGCCTGGTGGTCATAGGTGATATTGGGATGAATTGATTTGTCTTTCGACATAATTTGATTGGCTTTGAGTGTGAACTATGAAGTATGTATTGTATGCAGTGGATATTGACCATATAATTGTGATTTGGTTCTTGACAAGTAAGATCATCACATTAATTTTCATTTATACAATTCAATTCTGGTTATTGATTTTAATATCTTCTGAGCATGAACAGTAATTTTTATGAGATTTGAGATCATATGATTGTAACATTTGCATGAACAGGTCGGAGCTCCTGCTCGTGTTGGCCTTATTGCTCCAATTGATGTTGTTGTTCCTCCTGGAAACACTGGATTGGATCCATCTCAGACTTCCTTCTTCCAGGTTTACATCTTTCAAGCTCCTAACACCACTTGGTGATTCCCCCCCTCTTTCTCTCACTCGCTCCCTGTAACTCACTCCATTTTTCAGGTGCTTAACATTCCAACCAAGATCAACAAAGGTACAGTTGAAATCATCACCCCTGTGGAGCTTATCAAGAAGGGCGAAAAGGTGGGTTCTTCCGAGGCCGCCCTTCTCTCAAAGCTATTGATAAGGCCATTCTCTTACGGTCTTGTAGTGTTGTCTGTCTACGATAATGGTTCAGTGTTTAGTCCTGAGGTGCTTCACCTCACAGACGACGATCTAATGGTGAAATTTGCTTCTGGGATATCCATGGTTGCCGCCCTGTCAATGGCTCTAACATACCCAACACTTGCTGCTGCACCTCACATGTTCATTAACGCCTACAAGAATGTTCTTGCTGTTGCAGTGGAAACACCATACTCTTTCACATATGCTGAGACGGTGAAGGAATACTTAAAGGTTAGCACTTATTTGTGGATCCAAGGTAGAGTTTTAGTTTATTGGAATGCCAATAAAATGGTTCATAAATTGGTGAATGGTGATTCAATTTTCTTTTTTACCGAAATAAACATAGAAATGGGTATTTTGACAGAACGATAAATTAATTCCAACCTTCCGCTCCAGTAACCCAAGCACTAGGTTTCATTTCATTTTCCTTTCTTTGCAACATTGGTAAATTGTTTGAACGATGAAATTGCAGGATCCAAGCAAATTTGCTGCTGCTGTTGCTGCTCCAGTTGCTGCTGCTGCTGCTCCTGCAGCTGATGCCAAGAAGGAAGAGGTTAAGGAGCCTGAGGAGGAGTCTGATGACGATCAACCTATCTTCGGTTTGTTTGATGATGAGTGAAGAGAGAGTAGTATGGTGAACTTTTTTGCTATGTTTTGGTATCGTTTAGGATCCTTTTGGTTTGATTTCTGTTTGACTTATGGGAAACTTTGGTTATAGTTGGAATTACTGTTTTGGCTTTTTAGTTATTTCATATCCTAATCAAATGCGTTTATTTCCTTCTGTAGTCTCATGTCAATGGGACGAGGTTGAGTTTGTAGTCTCGTGTCCTCATCCCATCCCCATCTTTGATGAGAGCGGAACTGGAGTGAGGAAATGTAATGTCAAGATAATTATTATTACTTTTTAGTAGGAGTGGGAGGGGGTCGGTTGCAATCACAGAATCTCTAATCTGTTATCCGTTCGTTAGATTGGTAGATTGGAAAAAATCAATCCACATCTGTCCGTCAATTAGGCGAATGTGGATTGAACGGATTGGCGGATGGATGTGAATCGATTTGGCAGTTTAAAATTTTATAAATTTTCAACATAATTCAACTTATGCATTTCCTCAAAAAAATATATATATATTACAGCCATTGACTTAAAAAAGTATTACAATCATAGCATGTTTCAAATATTACAATTTGTGATTCTTAAAATATAAAAGTAATTCAAACCACTAAAATTATAAAACAGAGCAATAGTGAAGATTATATGCCTATTGTTACATTTAATCTGTTTTCAAAAACAAAAACCAACAAACATACATCATCTTTTTATTTATTACTTTTAGAGTTAGATTTAAAAATAAAAAAAATATAGATAAAATAATACATTTATTTTTTTCAATTCAAAAAATATATATTTAAGTTGAAAATTCTTTTTCAATAGAATATTTAAATTATTTTTCAATTAAAAATATAAACATAATTAAAAACACAAAGTCTTACAAATTACTAAGAGTGCTCATGATTTGACGATTCAGTTGCGGCCAAAAATCTCAAATCCACCATCTGTCCAAAACTAAGCGGATTGGAAAAAATCAATTCGCAACCGTCCACTCGTCATCACGCATCCATCCAAAATGAGGATCGATGCGGTTCAATCGGTTTGAACGGATCAGTATATCCACTGCTCACTCCTACCTTTAAGAGGGGATGGTTTTGGACGGATGCGGTTCAGACGGATCAATATATCCACTGCTCACTTCTACCTTTAAGAGGGGATGGTATTAATGAAAAAAAAGATATAAAGGGATGGTATTAAAGAAAAAAAAGATATAAAACACAAATAGTTATAAGTATTAGGAAGAATTTTAAAAAAGTGAAATGTAGACAAAATAATTTCAAAATGATGAAAGTATAAAATAATTTATTTAATGAAGACTTGTACTTATCATCATTTTGAAATTATTTTTTCTATCCTCCACTTTTTTTGAAATTCCTCCTACTTTTTATATGCCTCGAAATTAATAGCAATTGGGTTATTGACATTGGGTAATGTTAGGAATACTAAATTTTCTGTCAAAAAAATGACCAAATGTCTTACATGGGTGTGAGGTTCATAATTTTGTGGACCCCACACTCATGTGAGATATTTGATTATTTATTTTGGTAAAAAATTTAAGATTTATAACATTTTCCAGGTCGGAGCTCCTGCTCGTGTTGGCCTTATTGCTCCAATTGATGTTGTTGTTCCTCCTGGAAACACTGGATTGGATCCATCTCAGACTTCCTTCTTCCAGGTTTATATCTTTCAAGCTCCTAACACCACTTGGTGATTCCCCCCCCTCTTTCTCTCACTCGCTCCCTGTAACTCACTCCATTTTTCAGGTGCTTAACATTCCAACCAAGATCAACAAAGGTACAGTTGAAATCATCACCCCTGTGGAGCTTATCAAGAAGGGCGAAAAGGTGGGTTCTTCCGAGGCCGCCCTTCTCTCAAAGCTATTGATAAGGCCATTCTCTTACGGTCTTGTAGTGTTGTCTGTCTACGACAATGGTTCAGTGTTTAGTCCTGAGGTGCTTCACCTCACAGACGACGATCTAATGGTGAAATTTGCTTCTGGGATATCCATGGTTGCCGCCCTGTCATTGGCTCTAACATACCCAACACTTGCTGCTGCACCTCACATGTTCATTAACGCCTACAAGAATGTTCTTGCTGTTGCAGTGGAAACACCATACTCTTTCACATATGCTGAGACCGTGAAGGAATACTTAAAGGTTAGCACTTATTTGTGGATCCAAGGTAGTGTTTTAGTTTATTGGAATGCCAATAAAATGGTTCATAAATTGGTGAATGGTGATTCAATTTTCTTTTTTACCGAAATAAACATAGAAATGGGTATTTTGACAGAACGATAAATTAATTCCAACCTTCCGCTCCAGTAAACCAAGCACTAGGTTTCATTTCATTTTCCTTTCTTTGCAACATTGGTAAATTGTTTGAACGATGAAATTGCAGGATCCAAGCAAATTTGCTGCTGCTGTTGCTGCTCCAGTTGCTGCTGCTGCTGCTCCTGCAGCTGATGCCAAGAAGGAAGAGGTTAAGGAGCCTGAGGAGGAGTCTGATGACGATCAACCTATCTTCGGTTTGTTTGATGATGAGTGAAGAGAGAGTAGTATGGTGAACTTTTTTGCTATGTTTTGGTATCGTTTAGAATCCTTTTGGTTTGATTTCTGTTTGACTTATGGGAAACTTTGGTTATAGTTGGAATTACTGTTTTGGCTTTTTAGTTATTTCATATCCTAATCAAATGCGCTTTTTTCCTTCTGTAGTCTCATGTCAATGGGGACGAGGTTGAGTTTGTAGTCTCTTGTCCCCATCCCATCCCCATCTTTGATGAGGGCGGAACTGGAGTGAGGAAATGTAATGTCAAGATAATTATTATTACTTTTTAATAGGAGTGGGAGGGGGTCGGTTGCAATCACAGAATCTCTAATCTGTTATCCGTTCGTTAGATTGGTAAATTGGAAAAAATCAATCCACATCTGTCCGTCAATTCGGCGAATGTGGATTGAGCGGATTGGCGGATGGATGTGAATCGATTTGGCAGTTTAAAATTTTATAAATTTTTAACATAATTTAACTTATGCATTTCCTCAAAAAAATATATATATATTACAGCCATTGACTTAAAAAAGCATTACAATCATAGCATGTTTCAAATATTACAATCTGTGATTCTTAAAATATAAAAATAATTCAAATCACTAAAACTATAAAACAGAGCAATAGTGAAGATTATATGCCTATTGTTACATTTAATCTGTTTTCGAAAACAAAAACCAACAAACATACATCATCTTTTTATTTATTACTTTTAGAGTTAGATTTAAAAATAAAAAAAATATAGATAAAATAATACATTTATTTTTTTCAATTCAAAAAATATATATTTAAGTTGAAAATTCTTTTTCAATAGAACATTTAAATTATTTTTCAATTAAAATTATAAACAGAATTGAAAACACAAAATCTTACAAATTATTAGGAGTGCTCATGATTTAACAATTCAGTTGCGGCCAAAAATCTCAAATCCACCATCTGTCCAAAACTAAGCGGATTGGAAAAAATCAATTCGCAACCGTCCACTCGTCATCACGCATCCATCCAAAATGAGGATCGATGCGGTTCAATCGGTTTGAACGGATCAGTATATCCACTGCTCACTCCTACCTTTAAGAGGGGATGGTTTTGGACGGATGCGGTTCAGACGGATCAATATATCCACTGCTCACTTCTACCTTTAAGAGGGGATGGTATTAATGAAAAAAAAGATATAAAGGGATGGTATTAAAAAAAAAAAGATATAAAACACAAATAGTTATAAGTATTAGGAAGAATTTTAAAAAAGTGAAATGTAGACAAAATAATTTCAAAATGATGAAAGTATAAAATAATTTATTTAATGAAGACTTGTACTTATCATCATTTTGAAATTATTTTTTCTATCCTCCACTTTTTTTTATGGTACTAGTGAAAATATAAAAACACATACTGAAAAATATATAACACAAATATTGATAAGTAATGAGAATTAAAAATATTAAAATGAGATAAAAAAGATTAAATATCAAAGATAAGAGGTAAAAAATGAAAGATATAGGAATGTTTTGGTTTTTTACTTATTATTTAGCAAACTGAAATTATATATTAATATATATACATATAAAATCTAATATTTAATTTAATATAATTAAGAATATCATGTACACCCGTGACACTGCAATTTTCTTCGCAAGCTTGCTTTTGAAAGAGTGGGTGGAAAATATGAATAGGGTGATGCAAATATCCTCGTTTTTTTTTTTTTTTTTATCGCGAAGGAAAAAATCAGCACAAGTCAAAATCAAGACAGATTAGATAATTTTTGGTCATTTATAAGCAATCATTTTCGCTCTTCTTGGTAAGCTGAAAATTTGACGACTTTGCACTCATATCAGGGAATTCTGTTACAAGGAAGATATGGATGTGTATAATTCATTCTTCAAATAAATACCTGGGAAATTCTGTTACAAGGAAGATATGGATGTGTATAATTCATTCTTCAAATAAATACCTGGGAAATTCTGTTACAAGGAAGATATGGATGTGTATAATTCATTCTTCAAATAAATACCTGGGAAATTCTGTTACAAGGAAGATATGGATGTGTATAATTCATTCTTCAAATAAATACCTGGGAAATTCTGTTACAAGGAAGATATGGATGTATATATTCCATTCTTCAATATTTTTGAGCTATATATATATATATATATTTTTTTTTTTAATTCTAAAAAACTAAGATAATTGAAATGTTAGCAACAGCAACACCCTCCTAGCCTTTCAAGTTTGCTCTTTGATTATTCCATCGGTTAAAGCTTATTCATTGCAACCTCTGAGTGAAATAATATGTGCTCACCAAAGCACTGTTATCTGCAACGAAAATGGAGCCTTTTAGAATAATGCAAACATGAGAGAGAGAAAGAGAGAGTGAGTGAGTTAAGTTTAACATGCTTTCACTCAGAATGTCCTAACTCAAACCTCCATAGCTTAGGTAATCTTACAGTGAAACAGACATGTGTTTTGCATCAACTAAACTAGAATACAAGCAAAAAACCCAAAATACAAACAATTAGAATTAGCTAGAAATGAGAAAGCTCTACAGCGTTGGCAATCCTAAAAGCTGAAACTTCAGTGTTTCAGCATTGTATAACACTAGAATACAGAAACAAAACATCAGGCAAGCAAAGGCTAAAAAAAGGCTTGTGAAAAGGAAATTTCATTAGCATAGGAAAGGTTCCCTAGAACAAATTGTTGAACAAGTGAACAGCTGGTTAATTTGTACAGTAAAAATAATGATTTCATGGCAGTCAGCCGAATTACAAAGCATTTCTTCAGTCATATATCAAACATAAGTTGCATCAGCATTCTTGTTGCAAATAGGTCTGAAGAATGAGAAGCTATTTTTTGTGAAGATAGAAGACACAAAAACGAACAACATAAGCGATACAAGTGAAGAGGCATTATATAGTGTCAAGTTCCACAAGTGGAATGAAGATAAACGACCAACATGAGTTTAAGGAAGTGATATCTCGAGAAACAACTAAATAAGTGATGCCTTCTAACCTTTATAATTAGAGCATCCACATAACTGAAAATGGAACGGCCACCAATACCAAGGAAAAATAAAAATCACAAGGCCATATCCTACAGACAAGCATTAAGGCAATCTCGAAAGACACGAATTCCCTGCCAAACAGATTATACAAAAATTAGCAAAAACAAAATAGTTCATTGTAAATAAGCAGATTGAAGCTATGCCAGAGTAACTTTCAAAAGATATTGACGAGCAGGACACACAATAAGCTTAAATTTATTTTCTAATACCTGCAATGCAAATGCAACATCTGCTTCATCGACTTTTAGTGTTACTCTTCTTAATTTATCTTCTCGAGATTGACCAAGTTTGAGAAGACCCTGCACTTTGAATCATGCATCTTAGCTTGCCATTTCACGGGGATCGTATCGTATTGCAAAATAAGCTTCATGCGCTCAATCTAAATCTTGTATAGAGAATTATATCCAAAGAAATAAATTCAATCAGAACACGCAGCATATTAAGCTCACCTGGTCACCTAGAACTCTACACATGCATGAAAGTTAAATAATTCGGACTGGTGGGATTAATGTTAATTTGCAGATGTCTAAGTATGATTTACTGAGCTGCATTCATATAGAAAATTTACAAATCTCAATTAACTGTTGTACAATGTACTCTTCTCAAGTCTTATTGAACACTATGTCAGCTAATATACCTCGCCTATAGTTGTATCCTTCTTTCCCCCACGGAAAAGCTTCACAGCAGAACAAAGTATAATCTGAAGCCAAGGAAAAAACCGTAAAAAACATAAAAACAGAATAATGTTTCTAGAGATAGGTAAGCAAGAGCAAGAAGGAAAACAGCATAAAAACTAACAGGCTACAATTTATCGAAACTGGTTTGGACTTTTGGACAGTGGACCCCAATTCTAAGAGCTGAACAGTTGGCTGCAATAGTATTATGCAAGTTTCCACAAAAATACTTATAACGCTTCTTATGATGCCATCAATTAAACACATCACAAGGCATGCCAAGATCAAAGACAACTTTCAGGAAGTTGAGTTGCCTAAAAAAAAACATCATTTGATTGATATATATAAAGTGAGGAACATTTGAAATAAGTACATACCTCCCATATTATCATCACTTTTAAAATTCACCAGATCTCAGTTTTGGATGAATTTTCGTGATGTTACAATCATAGGGCACACACTGAATTCAGTTGACACTAGATTTTCAATTACATCGTATCTAGATTATCTTATTAGATCAAAGCATAAATAAAGTCCTTCGAGTCATGAATAAACTCCTTTAAACAGACCCGTCAATATAAAATGCACATCTTTTGAGCCATAATAGTCAACTAATTAATCATGTTAGCAGAACAAACTTACCTGTTGATGTTGTGGAAGAGATTGTATGGTGTCCATTATTGGTGATCTATAGGTCTTTGACAAAGCAATAGCCATATGGTCAACCCTCACCTGTGACAAGCAGCAAAACTTGTAAGAAATATGAAATTCTTAAAAAGGGATATCTGAATCTGACTGCTTTTAGCTGGGCTAACTAAAAGTTTAAAAACTTTATACAGTGAGCCAAACAGTTACTGACAAAACATGTTTTTATATCATTAATTTAACTTATTTATGTTTGGAATGGATGAAGTTGATATATATAGCAAGTGCCTACAATATCAATTCCTTGCTTTATTAAATAACAAGCTGGAGTTGTCTGTTGATTTGAGTACCCATTCTCTGCTAATGAGAAATCCAAATTGCATGCAGATTCCCTCAGCTCTGCTTGTAGCATCTCAATTGCACTTCTGAAACAGAAAAAAAAAAAAAAAAAGACGAAGTAATTACACTGCAGTTTATACCCTGGTCAAAACAAAAGCATCATTTTCATCACAGATATGCCATCTACATCATTGGTTGTAGATATTGCTGATACTACATTTACAATTTAAAGCCTATCACAGGGCTGAGTGACTACCTTGCAGTTAATAAGATTTAGCAATAGTAATATATGCAAGAAAGACAGCAAATTCCTACATTTCTCGTGGAATCTAATTTCTCAGTCATTAGTGCTGCTTAAAATGAGATCAAGGGAGAGCATCATGGATGCACACTTGAATGAAGCCAAGCCCCATAAAGAAGAGAGAGAAGGGGCAGAGTAGATTGTTATCGGTGTAATTAATTGCACAGGCATATATAAATTAGCATCAAATTAAATATCAGCGATATACTTGTAGATGTCTGTATTTTCAAAACTTAGATATGTCTGTAAGGCCCCGGTGTCCCACATCGGGAATGGAGGGGGAGTTCCTGAGCTATAAAAGTAAAAACCTAGACCCTTATATAGCATCGAGGCCTTTTTCCAAGTGGTGAAATCCCTATTAGAACTCCCCAGTTAAGCGTGCTTAGGCTGGAGTAGTTCTAGGATGGGTGACCCACTGGAAAGAACAAATCCGTGCGGGCGTGACCCAAAGCGGACAGTATCGATGACGTGTAAAGGGTCAGGGCGTTACAATGTCTGTTACATTAAAACTTTCAAAATGTTCTTATAATCTTTTAAATTAAAATTTTCACTTTTCAAAAGTACAATTGATTTCTGCAGATAATATCCATTGATACATCAACATTGCTGGATTGTAATATATCCATATCATCTTATTGATATAGCGTTCCTTGTAAGTAAAAACGGCTAATGTTGGTCATTGACATCTAAAAAATTCCCATACTATGCCCCTAAGTTTACTCTCTTGTATGCATGATAATTATAAGGAAGATATGGATGTATAATTCATTCTTCAAATAAATACTTGGAGAATTCTGTTATAAGGAAGATATGGATGTATATATTCCATTCTTCAAAGCATTGTTATCTGCAACGAAAATGGAGCCTTTTAGAATAATGCAAACATGAGTGAGAGAGAGAGAGAGTTAAGTTTAACATGCCTTCACTCAGAATGTCCTAACTCAAACCTCCATAGCTTAGGTAATCTTACAGTGAAACAGACGGGTTTTGCATCAAATAAACTAGAATACAAACAAAAAACCCAAAATACAAACAATTAGAATTAGCTAGAAATGAGAAAGCTCTATAGCATTGGCAATCCTAAAAGCTGAAACTTCAGTGTTTCGCATTGTATAACACTAGAATACAGAAACAAAACATCAGGCACACAATAAGCTTAAATTTATTTTCTAATACCTGCAATGCAAATGCAACATCTGCTTCATCGACTTTAGTGTTACTCTTCTTAATTTATCTTCTCGAGATTGACCAAGTTTGAGAAGACCCTGCACTTTGAATCATGCATCTTACCTTGCCATTTCACGGGGATCGTATCGTATTGCGAAATAAGCTTCATGTGCTCAATCTAAATCTTGTATAGAGAATTATATCCAAAGAAATAAATTCAATCAGAACACGCAGCATATTAAGCTCACCTGGTCACCTAGAACTCTACACATGCATGAAAGTTAAATAATTCGGACTGGTGGGATTAATGTTAATTTGCAGATGTCTAAGTATGATTTACTGAGCTGCATTCATATAGAAAACTTACAAATCTCAATTAACTGTTGTACAATGTACTCTTCTGAAATCTTATTGAACACTATGTCAGATAATATACCTCGCCTATAGTTGTATCCTTCTTTCCCCCACGGAAAAGCTTCACAGCAGAACTAACAAGAATTATATCCAAAGAAATAAATTCAATCAGAACACGCAGCATATTAAGCTCACCTGGTCACCTAGAACTCTACACATGCATGAAAGTTACATAATTCGGACTGGTGGGATTAATGTTAATTTGCAGATGTCTAAGTATGATTTACTGAGCTGCATTCATATAGAAAACTTACAAATCTCAATTAACTGTTGTACAATGTACTCTTCTGAAATCTTATTGAACACTATGTCAGATAATATACCTCGCCTATAGTTGTATCCTTCTTTCCCCCACGGAAAAGCTTCACAGCAGAACAAAGCATAATCTGAAGCCAAGGAAAAAACAAAAAACAGAATAATGTTTCTAGAGATAGATAAGCAAGAGCAAGAAGGAAAACAGCATAAAAACTAACAGGCTACAATTTATCGAAATTGGTTTGGACTTTTGGACAGTGGACCCCAATTCTAAGAGCTGAACAGTTGGCTGCAATAGTATTATGCAAGTTTCCACAAAAATACTTATAACGCTTCTTATGATGCCATCAATTAAACACATCACAAGGCATGCCAAGATCAAAGACAACTTTCAGGAAGTTGAGTTGCCTAAAAATAAACATCATTTGATTGATATATATAAAGTGAGGAACATTTGAAATAAGTACATACCTCCCATATTATCATCACTTTTAAAATTCACCAGATCTCAATTTTGGATGAATTTTCGTAATGTTACAATCATAGGGCACACATGCTAGTTTAGTAACTGAATTCAGTTGACACTAGATTTTCAATTACATCGTATCTAGATTATCTTATTAGATCAAAGCATAAATAAAGTCCTTCGAGTCATGAATAAACTCCTTTAAACAGACCCGTCAATATAAAATGCACATCTTTTGAGTCATAATAGTCAACTAATTAATCATGTTAGCAGAACAAACTTATCTGTTGATGTTGTGGAAGAGATTGTACGGTGTCCATTATTGGTGATCTATAGGTCTTTGACAAAGCAATGGCCATATGGTCAACCCTCACCTGTGACAAGCAGCAAAACTTATAAGAAATATGAAATTCTTAAAAAGGGATATCTGAATCTGACTGCTTTTAGCTGGGCTAACTAAAAGTTTAAAAACTTTATACAGTGAGCCAAACAGTTACTGACAAAACATGTTTCTATATCATTAATTTAACTTATTTATGTTTGGAATGGATGAAGTTGATATATATAGCAAGTGCCTACAATATCAATTCCTTGCTTTATTAAATAACAAGCTGGAGTTGTCTGTTGATTTGAGTACCCATTCTCTGCTAATGAGAAATCCAAATTGCACGCCGATTCCCTCAGCTCTGCTTGTAGCATCTCAATTGCACTTCTGAAACAGAAAAAAAAAAAAAAAAAAAAAAAAAAAAAAAAGTTTATACCCTGGTCAAAACAAAAGCATCATTTTCATCACAGATATGCCATCTACATCATTGGTTGTAGATATTGCTGATACTACATTTACAATTTAAAGCCTATCACAGGGTCGAGTGACTACCTTGCAGTTAATAAGATTTAGCAATAGTAATATATGCAAGAAAGACAACAAATTCCTACATTTCTCGTGGAATCTAATTTCTCAGTCATTAGTGCTGCTTAAAATGAGATCAAGGGAGAGCATCATGGATGCACACTTGAATGAAGCCAAGCCCCATAAAGAAGAGAGAGAAGAGGCAGAGTAGATTGTTATCGGTGTAATTAATTGCACAGGCATATATAAATTAGCATCAAATTAAATATCAGCGATATACTTGTAGATGTCTGTATTTTCAAAACTTAGATATGTCTGTAAGGCCCCGGTGTCCCACATCGGGAATGGAGGGGGAGTTCCTGAGCTATAAAAGTAAAAACCTAGACCCTTATATAGCATCGAGACCTTTTTCCAAGTGGTGAAATTCCTATTAGAACTCCCCAGTTAAGCGTGCTTAGGCTGGAGTAGTTCTAGGATGGGTGACCCACTGGAAAGAACAAATCCGTGCGGGCGTGACCCAACTCGGACAGTATCGATGACGTGTAAAGGGTCAGGGCGTTACAATGTCTGTTACATTAAAACTTTCAAAATGTTCTTATAATCTTTTAAATTAAAATTTTCACTTTTCAAAAGTACAATTGATTTCTGCAGATAATATCCATTGATACATCAACATTGCCGGATTGTAATATATCCATATCATCTTATTGATATAGCGTTCCTTGTAAGTAAAAACGGCTAATGTTGGTCATTGACATCTAAAAAATTCCCATACTATGCCCCTAAGTTTACTCTCTTGTATGCATGATAATTGTTTAGCTGCACATAAGTATGGAAGACATCCTTATTTACATATTCCGAAAGAGTCAACTTTTTTTTAACATTATTTCATTGACACTGTCATCTTCTTGATGATTACTTCTAAGCACATTTTCTACCAATCTAATTTCAATCATCTTGAATACAATACAAGTTCAACATATGCTACTAATTAAGTACTGTAACTATGGCAATAAAAGGCCAACCTGCAGATGCACAGAGCTTTCCTCATATCTCCAGATGCAGCTGCAACTTTCTGCCATGTTTGAAAAGATAATCAATTTCTTTGCTCATGAGACAATTACACATAATGGTGTTTGGTGCTGAAGTTTCACTGCTAACTTGAAATATAGAAAATTGAGGCTGCATCCTTACGTCAAGGGAATTCATTCAAGTAATATTACATATACAGATCCACTACCAAATTAATGGCAATGTGTCAAGAAAAGAGAAGCAATCATTATTTATCAGAGCACAGAAAAAATCAATGGGGGTGACTCACTCTGGCACAGAGTTCCAGGGCTTGCGGTTGAAAGACAATGTACGGAAGTGCCTGTTGGAAGAGAATAGCATTCAGTCTTGAGTTGAGTCAATAACAAATAAATGAATAAATAAATAAATTCTGTTTTAGAGTTTGAAGATTCCATTTTTATTTTTATTTTTTTTAAATGAAGAGAATAGCATTCAGTCTTAAGTCAATAGCAAATAAATTCTGTTTTAGAATTTAAAGATTGATTTTTTCCAAGTATCTGCCAAAGCTAATGCAATGTAAGCATATGGAAGTTGTAATTTTCAGGTGCTCAAAAGAAATAATCCCATTGATTTCAGTACCTTACTGAAAATTTCAGATGTGTTAGTAAGAGAAGTACAGTTTATGGCTAATACATCCAGTGGCTGAAAACCTGCCTGACATCAAGAGTTATGATTCAATTAGTATTAGGGTTAAAAAAGTCACCTATTACAGAATAAAAGGAAATTTATATGCACGTTTATATTTCCCAACTTCCTTATCAATTAACCTGCATTTGCATGTAATATCCTACGTCGAACTCCATAAAAGGTAAATTAAGACATAATGATTCTTCTTACGTTCCATTCAAATGACTTGTGCAAAGATCAGCTGAAGAGCTAGCTCTCAAAATTGGGAAAATAATTGCAATCAATGTAATGCAAGTGAGTGCAAGTGAAAATTGTGCCCGGGATTGCGCAATAAGAGAAAATCATACTAGCATTTGTGGTATAATTCATTTTGTTTGGTATCATTTTCAAAAGTTGCTTTTGTTTATAAAAAAATAAAAAATAAAAAGAAAAGGAAAGAAGTAATATTAAAGCACTTTGGGCTGTTAATAGCCTTGGTGGATTTGAAAAAATTGTATAAAAAATGTGAAAATGCTTTGGGATGTGTAAAAAATACATCGATATTCTAATTTTTTCGACATTTTGTTTCTCTTATTGAGAGCCTATTGAGCTGTCATTAGCAGCATCCATATTAAAATTGTTTTGGCAGGCAAAAAAAAAAAAAATCTGAAAGACAACTCATTGTTTGAGGAAAAATTGAAATATGCTCCATAAAAATTGTTTTGGCAAGCAAAAAAAAAAAAATCTGAAAGACAACTCATGTTTGAGGAAAAATTGAAATATGCTCCATAAGGTCCCAAAAAATTTGTACTAAAATAAAAGTGATACGAAAAATATTGTGTTTTCAAACTTTTAAAAACACAAAAATTGAAAACCAAAGACAAAAACAAGAACAATGGAAATGATGTCAAACAATAGAATCCTTAAAACATGTTCTGAACTTTTCCCTTAACAATTTCCAAACAAAGGAGTGACCGATAATTTGTTTGTTGAATATTAACCGGTAATGCAGCAAGATTAACATTGTCAACCAAACGCTTATTCAATTAAGGGCAATCAGCTTACCCCCTGTGCCCAATCGACCAGAGAGTCTTTAACTCTTTCCATCAGCGATTTCCCAGTCCCTGGACATCCACACACATACAAACTCCCTGCTTTCTCTTGCTCTATGCATTGTTTACAGAACTCCAAAACCCTTTTCTTCTCATCTTCCCTGCAGCGGTGAGTACAAATGCATTGTGTCTTTTGAACCTTACATCTAGATTTTTTGACGATTTGATGAAAGAGAAAGATGGATTTAATTTCATAATGGTTAATAGTTATTCGAACATCAAATATATCATTAATCCTCTAATTTGAGGGAAATTTCATTTTAGTTCTCGTAATTTTAATTTTATTAATTTAAACTCCACATTTTAAATTTCGCGAGATTTGATTGCTCAAACTTGCCTCTTGGATTCCACTTTGGTTTGTCAATAAAATCACCATACAATTTTTTCACCAGCAATTCGCGAGATTTGACAACCTTATTATCACCCGATTCTTTTTCAATAATTCCCTGGAGAAAAAAAAAACATAAAAATGTAAGAAGCTCCAACACTATCACCATCAATGGCAGAATATCAACAGATGCAAATCGAAGTACTTTCAGACTCACATTTTCAGTGCAATTGAGGCCGCCATTGATGCATCGACGAGGAGATTTAGACTTTGTTCCGTCTTCTGCAGCCGAATCGGATCTCAATCTTCGCTTCCGAAGAGTGGAGTCGCCATTGGCTCTGATGTCGCTGATCTTGATGGATTTGGTATCTTGAGTTCATTGCTGATGATGCTCGGCATGATTGAGAGATCGAAGAGGTCAAACTCTTACAAATCTGTGACTCAACTCAGAGAGAGAACAGAGTTGTTAAAATGTGTTGGTTTGGTACCAAAAACAAAAGAAAAAGGGGGCAAATGTCGAGAGAGAGAGAGAGAGAGTTTATCAAGTGTGTTCAGGTGCAACTCGGGAGGGTTCGGGGTTTATCTAAGTCCAATTCAAATTATATTTGGCAGTGTCTAACTTCGTCCAAGTCCGACCATAAATGTATTGCTGTCAAAGCCTAGACCAAGCTTTCTATTTTGAATTCGGATTAGTCCGCATTGCTCGAAATTTACAAGTTCAGAAACTTGTAAGTAGACCAATTATGAACACATTTTTATCGCTTCTTGCTTAAGAATCTAGTATACAGTACTTTTAGTTTTCTTTTTCCTATTATTTTTTAATATTTAATAACCTTACTTAAAATAATTTCCATTTGAAAGGGCCCAAGAATTGAAAAAATCATAACTGACTGCTAGTTTAAATAGTCAAACAAGATGTTAATCCAACAGTGAAAAACTAACCAAAATAAATAAATAAATAAATAAAAAAAGTTAAGAATAACTCGATTATTTAATTTATATATATTATATAATTTATATAAAATATTAAATTCAATTTGGGTTCGGGTTGTTCGGGTTGACCATTGATTTTGTCCAAGCTCGACCCAAATTACAATTCAGGTATCAAAAATCTGCCCAGGCCCTTCCAGATTACAAGATATAGTTTCCTAAGTCCTAAAAAAACTCGAGCTGGGCTCGGGTTGCTCGGGTTGAGCCCGCCCGAGTTGCACCCCTAAGTGTGTTTCGCCAATGTGTAGTGTAAATAGATTTGAACTCGTTTAGGTCTGTTTGTTTTCAGAGATAGGATGGAGGGGATTCATAATGAGGGAATTAGTAGTGATGGGATTGATAGTGAGGGGATTAAGTAAAATTATATTTGTTTTGATGATAGTTGTTAGTGTAGGAATTATTAAATTATTTTTATACAAAATAATAAAACAAATAAAAAAATATAAAAAATTAAACATTAATGTTTAAAAAAAAATTTCAATATGTAAAAAATAAAAAAAAATTTAATCTCCTCACTATTTTTGTAATACTACCTCCATCTCCCCATCTCAATCCCCCTTCCAACTTCCATCTTAATTCCTTCCTCCATTCTAATCTATTCCCCAACTACAAACAAACACAATACTAAATAACCCCACATCCATCGTAATGCCCTCTCATCCATTACACCCCAAAACAAACGGGGCCTTAAGGTTCAATTGGGACGTTGATTGATTTTTTGACTTTTTAATTTTTTTTTGTGACTATTTTAGTTTAGGTTAAAAGATATCGTTTGAGATAGATTTTTTAATTTTTTTGACTTTTGTGAGAAAAAAATGAAATGATTATGATTTGAATATGATATTTTATCTTATTGACTTTTTAACTTATTTTGTCTTTTGTGATTAAAATAGCATTTTACCCCCAAAATTTTGTATGCCAAACGAGTGCTTGGTCAGGTTCGGTTAGAGCTTCTATGCTTACATTTTTCTTTCATCAAATTTAAATTTGTTGATGGAAAAAAATAATAATTTTGGTGCTCCAATCTTAATATCAAACCAATATCAAATTAATGATGCCTTAAAATCTTTATCAAATTAAGGATGCTTGGAGTGTTTCATCAAATTTGTAGGTGATCGTTGGGTCGGATGTCCTCCTGGACATAACCTCTTCCTTGCAAAATTATTCTGCAGGTTGTGGTCAATTTACACCAAACCAGTCGACCGGCCAGACATCCTCTCGGTCGACTAGTATTTTGATAAAAATTCAAATTTTTTTGTTAAAATGAGTGATATCAGATGAAGTTTTTACTTAAATTTTTATTCAAATTTGACGAAAAAAAAATTTACAAGCCGGAGACGCTCTTAAGGTGTTTAGTCAAAATAATAAAAAAATTTCACTATAAAAATTAACTCTATACATGTATTTTGTAAAAAGTCTAAAATTTATTTGAAAAAAAAAAATCAATTTCCAAACAAACCTAGATCTTTAATGAGTTTATTGAATTATTTAGGGTTGATTACGCTTTCTACTTCAAGTATTGTCAAATTATCTAATTAAGGCTCGATTAGAAATTAATTTTTTAGTTATTTTTAACTTTTAATGGAATAATGTGAAAAAAAAAGAAAAGAATATAAATAATGATTTGATAATTTGTAGTATTTTTTTGACTTTTTGACTAAAAATCCTTATTCCCAAACAAAGGCCATAATTCATTAACAATTCATTGAATCTACCAAATTCTTATAATATATTAATCAAAATTAATTTAGTTTTTGAATTATTGATTAAATCTATTAAATTTATAAAGTGTTTAATTTCAATCAAGTTAGTCTTGAAAGAATTACAAAAGTATAATATAAGCTCATTATAAATTAATAAAAGATAGTTAAAAAAAACTATTTAAAAAAAAAAATTTAAATTTCTATTGTGTTTTTTTTATTTAAAAAAGGTGGTACTTCTTCCGGTGAAGTTCTTTTATAAGAGCAAGAGTGTAAAATGTTTTTACTTATATTATGTAACAGTTACTTGCTTGTATTTATCTACTGTTATATGCCAATTTCGTTTATATACTAATTTTCAATTAACTGTATTTATGTTTTTCATTAAGTTTTTACAATAATCTAATTAATGTATTTTTTGTTTTATTATTATTTGTAGCAAATGCTATTATTTAAATTATTTGATTATATTTGTTTAGTATATTTAATACTCATAATTTTATTACAAGACTAGGAAATTAGATTTTAATACTAATTTAAAAACACAGCAAAATAAGACAATAGAAAGTTATTGTGAAAAAAATAAATATATCACAATTCAGTTTGGAGCCACAACCAAAGCTTTCGAATTGAGAATCAGATTGATTTGAATAATTCCATAATTTTCAAAACTAGAACTAGAATCAACATCAATAAAAACTATACTAAATCGATAGTTTGGACTAGACTGGATCAGTTTACCTGTTTCACCAATTTTTTTAACACCCCTATTAGTACTAATATGAGAATTATTTTGAGGTGGACATTAGAATTCAAATTGAGGGAGTGTTTGGGACATAAGTTTTTAGCTAAAATAGTCAATAATGACAAAAAAATTAAAATAACTAATAAAACAAAATGTTATATTCAAACCATGATTATTTCATTTTTTTTTTCTTACAATTATCAAATAAATTACAAAAAAAATAAAAAATAAAAAAACTAAAAATTATCTCAAACTCAATTTTTTTAGACAAGTTAAACTAGTCAAAAATATCAAATAAAATAGTCAAATTTTCAAAGAAATCCTAAATCAACAATGAAAGAGAGCGTTACCTCCACAAGTAAAGCATTAAGCAGTCATCCAAGCAATTAATTGCATGACCATAATAAGTTCTCTCCTACTCCGTCCCTCTCAGTAGTTATAATTTTATGGGAGAATTTTAGATTATGACAACTTGAAAAATAATTACAAATTAGTGACAAATTTTATCAATATTAATAATTAGGGCAAATTACGTCGGTTGTTCAGACATTTTGCTCTTTATGTCATTTTGGTCTCTCCACTTTCAATTGACTTAATTTTGACTATTAATTTTAAATTTTGTATTAATTTGGTCCAATTGATAATGCCGTTAATGTTTTTTGATAGAAAACAATTACTGAATTAGTTGAGGTTAACTCACTGAATTTAGTAAATTTATAGTTTTACTGTAAAAAATATAACACATGCTATTTATATACATATTTTTCATAAAAAAGTATTAAGAATTGTAATTAATTAGACCAAATTAAATTAAAATTATAAATTTATGGTCAAAAAATCAATTAAAATTACAGAAATTAATTAGGGTTATTCGCCAGGGCAGTGAAATAGAAAAAAGGGCCACTCAAGTATAACCTTGACCTTCAGTTAGCTCTAAAAAGATGCTACCCAATGATGGATCGGGTCAAAGAGCTGGATAATGATATTCAATCGGTGGAGACTAAGAAAGGGTTCTAAAATGAAATAAAAATGGAAGTTCGGATCGTTGCTACATTTAATGTAGATTGCAGGGGTGGGTTGAAAACCAAAGAATTTTTTAAGACAAAGTCTGTAAAGATTAAGAATTTTTTTAAGGGGTAATTTCTCCTAATTTTATCACCAAATTGACTTGGGCAACCATCATTTCTAATCAATATTACCTCCCTTCAAGTTGAATGACATTTAGTGCCCTAAAGCACCATTTCTTTGATGCGCAATAGTTTGTTAATACAACGGTCATTACAAAAAATTAAGGTTTTGGGGATTAAAATTTAAGGATAAAATTATTTTTTAAGAATTAAATATTTTTATTGTGAAAAATATCATCATTATATTTTTAATAATGAAAATTGGACATTAGTGATAAATTATCTATTTGAGACCAAATTTTTTGTTTAAAAAAGAAAGCATTTTGAGACCAAATTATTTTGTCCCAAAAAGTCTATTTATTAGTGACATTTTCAAAATTTTGTCGCTAAAAGCCTTATTTTTGACTTTTCAAGACGACCTTTTAGCGACTATCTTCATGATGATAGAAATTAGTTCCTAAATGTCTTTTGTAACAAAATTTTTAATTTTAGAAACCAAAACATTTGATCTCTAAAACTCTTATATGTTGTAGTGGGTAAAAAAGTAATTTCCTTGAGGGGTGGCCAAACAATGGCAGTGAATAATTATAAATGCTACTATTAAAAAATTATTACAGAGTCATGAAAAAAATTATAATTATAATTATTAATATGTATAAAATTTACCAATTATTTGTAATTTTTTTTTTTATAAAAATTTACATTGGATTCAAATTTTCCCTAATTGTAACAAGACACAAACTTTCCATATATTCAAAAATAATAGTGTAATCTTAATTTAGCAAAAATGATTCATTACTGAGGGTTAATGACCAACCCACTGATCTCTCCACCACTATTTTTCTACTTTTGTCTGAGAAGAGAAGCTGAGGAGTTACACTCACCTCTGAATCTCAGCCGTTGGATGAACCCTCAAATTAACGGTTTCCAACCCTTGTAGTAGCTCCAAACAAGGCTTTTTACTATAATCTCTCTTTGTCCAGCTCTTGTGTCTTTACAAGTAGAGAGAAGAAAAAACACAAAAAAGCATCTTT